GCAAGTCGCCAAGTGTCAAAAAAACTCTGCGCTCGAGGACTCTCCCCTCTGACCTCCGGATCGGCGATGACAAAGCTCTTCCACTCACTGTCATCCCAATTGCCCTGACCAGAACTCGTTGCAAAAGTGCATTGAAGTGCAGTTCTGCTGAACTAAGCGACTGTAACCACGACCATCCACAACCTAGTGGCTGTACTCTGCTGCGTGTGAAGCTTGGCATAAGCTGGTCAAATCAAACGGCTCCTTATACAAATCAAGACGTGAACCGGAGATCAGCCAGGACAATCCCGGACAGGAGCTGAAAACCGATGGCGCCACAAACTGGATCACGAAAGAGGAGAACGGCTAAAGATAAGAAGAAAAGTTCATGTCATGTAAGGGAATTTCCACAAAAACGCATCCTAACGGGTCCTAACGGATTGATCACTCCCTACAGTACCCGTCCCGGCGAAATCGACATCTTCCTCAACAATTTCATGCGACTTGAACGAACCCCGTCAAGACTCTTGACTGAATTCCAAAATGGTGCTTGTTGGCCAAACAATGTGTTTGGAAGTGTTCTGCGTCTTGCGCAAGGGGCTCTGAGGGGGCTGTGAGTAGCGGAAATCCCCCCCTTTGAAACCTGAATTGTAGATCATCTCGGCCTGTCTGGTTCTGACGCATCCCAAGACGAAAGTTAGGAATGGCAGAATTACAACGCCACCTGGACCTAGCTTCACAGTACAACATTGAGATTAAATGAGATTAAGAGGTCAAAGAAAATATAAGAAAATGAGTAAGAACATGTTATGATGACAGACATCTTTCTTGGCGTTGCTGATTGATGGGTGCCGCAGGATTTCCGCCATCCACCGTATCACATCAATCTGCTTTTTCTTCCCACAGCAGCCATAACCATCTGGGGCAAAGAGCCAATAAGAAACACTATGGACAACCCCCGCTGACTGAATCACGAAAACGGGGACCAAAAGCCAAATCCTGAAGCCCGACATTGGGTTCTGGAAAGCGGAATTCCGGACGAGAACGGAGGTCTGGTGCTCTTTTAAAATCTTTGACAGAATACAAGAAAAGGCAACAAAAGGATCAAAAGGTATCAAGAGGCATACACCACGGTGCTGCCTTCCATGCTGGCTCCACTAGTCTTTTGAAGAAGGCAGCGCCTCAGCCATGCTGAATGAAGGACGCTGCCCAGTGGCCACGGTATGGCCAGGCTGACCCTTCGAGAAACGAGTCGAAGACGCGAACGACCGAGTCACCAGTTGCCACACAGCTTTGGTTCATAACGGCCTGATATGTGTGGACCTGGTGCTACATGCTTGTCCAGAACATTAGGTACACTGGAATCCAGGCCATCTCACACTGCCTCTGCATCGGTGGTTGTCCAATAGTAGGATGGTTCCCCTCAACAGAATGTTTCAAGTTGGCACACCTTCCTACAGTATGCAGCGCGGCGCCCATCTCGCAATCCTCCAATCTGTCAAAGCACTCAAATCCTCCATTGAATTCAAAAACAAACAAACCCTGTTTAATCCTTTTTATACCTACTAGTACCTACACTCTCCGGTCCCTGCTAAGATGCTTAAGTATGCCACCAAACATCAAACAAATCATTGCAGTGTTAGGGTTGCAAGTCTGTGGCCCCTTAACTACATCAGAGTGTCTCCGGCGCAGACCTTCTGCTCCGATGAGTGCTACGGCTCCGGGCGCCGCTTCTTGATGACGCGAAGGTCTGCTAAGTCAGGATGGGCATGCATTTGCCCCAGCAATTTCCCTGGCCCGAGCGTCTGGTGGAAGACAACCATAAGTTTTGGTTGAAGAAACATAGTTAATCACTGGACTGTTGCTGTTGCTCCGAAGGTTTCAGGTACATTCCAAAAAACACGGTTTTGTGAGAAAAGCCTGTCACAGCTCTCTGAGCCCAAGCCAGCTGGACGGTTGCCATCCTCGTTCGCTTGCTCCTCCATCTGCTCATAAGATGTAAGAGCCTCCGGATGACACGATGACAACTTGTTTTCATGTGAAACTATTGCTACTGTAGTCTTCAGAACTTGTCATGAACTGGCCTTAGGCTCCCGAAAAACTTCCTGCCGCAGTTAAACCGTTCTTTCTATTTCTTCCTGGACAAAGTCACCTGTAATCTCATCGGGCATTGTCTATGTTACATGGCTCAAACCAAGACAGCAACATCCACGCGCCCCAGTTCTACATTACACTGGATGACAATGGCCAACGGTTAGTAGCAAAGGCCGCTCATTCATAAGTAACTACGAATACTCTTCCTAGTAGTGACCACTGACATCTCCCCCAAACGACTCTTGGATCAAGTCGCATTGGTGCTACTGTAGGCTCTCTTCAGGGCATTCAATCACCCTGGTCCGTAGATTAAGTACAATCTCGCAGCATCGTCAAGTACCAGTAAGGCGTTTAACACATTTTAAAATCGAACTATTCGCTTTAATCTGGTCAAGGGCGAAGCCGCAACAAGGGGTTCCGATCTGGTCGCCGTGCTATGCCGTGCTCCTGACACCCGCTTGGCCTGGGCAACTTGGCCCTCGCTACAAAGGAGCAACAAATCTTCAAGATCCTGGAGCAAGATCCACCCGGGTGGACAAAACTGAAGACAAAGCAAGAGGCTGGAGGGTGAAACATAGCGGTACAAACCATCACACGTGAGTACCGGTAGGTCTTTCAAATGGTGGCACATGATGGACTGATGAGAAAAATACATAAAAATAGATGGACTGATGATGGACTCATATGTGGCAGCTCCGATCAGTCAAAGTTCCTTGGCGGCTGCTGGAAGAGTCTGTGCAGCATTGGTCTGCCTAAACCGATGAGCCTTCGGCAGTTGATCTGCTTTGTATGCTGAATTGACAAGAATGATGGAACAAAGGCAATTATTTGGAGATGCGGACCATGATACTCCAAAACAGTCTCCTGAATCTTGGACACTCTGCTGAGTGGCGACAGATCATCGAAGTTGATGTTCTTGCTGGAAGGCGGTTGCGTGGATATCTCCTGCAGGATTTCCTACCGATATTCTGGGAATACTGTCTACATTGATCACAAGACTTGACCAAACCCAGGGCGGAAACCCAAAGAAATAGGATATGACTCTGTGATATCCTCCTGGTTGAAGTCATCGCCCTTGAACACGTCATCCTCATTGTCATCCTGTGAATGGACCCGAAAAGGTTTTTATACTCAACACGCCTTTGTTCCTAGTAGCGTCCTTGTTCTTAGTAAGGCCAAGAGCTACTAGTAGTGTCCTTGCTCCTAGTAGAAATTGCCATTTTCTCCTAGTAGCCTCCTTGTTCAGCTTTTTGCGTCAAGTCTACCACTCAATTGTTGATTCTTCACTCATGAAGATCCATGAAGATCCATGAAGGATGATTGGCCGGCACCTCCTCCCAGCCAAAATCTGTCGGTGTGATTCTCTCGGCATCCTGCCGTCGATCCGTCGATCCGTCGGTCCATCGTCTCGGTCCATCGTCTCGGTCGACGTAAGTCGTCCCGGTCTGACCCGTCTGAAGCAATGCTGCGGGGTGGATTTCACACATCAGCCAGACATATATGAGTCAAACATATCCTGAAATGCTGCATAGCGCGATGCAGGCCGCAGGTTTTGAAAACCAGTACGTGTCATGCATCTGCAAGAGTTTCACTTCCCTTCTCCAAGCAATCAGCAAACCGCTAGCGCCGCTAGCGCCGCTAGCCCAACATGCGTGCAAACCGGATGCTCCGGCCTCTTGGACATCGCAAGAGCACAACCTTGGCCGAGGACCGTTCGGATCATCACGAGACAGAAGGGATCGTTACGGAACGTTCGATCTAGTCGTGAAAGCAAGAATCAAAAGACAACATGAGATTGTTGTGCATGGTTTTCCATAATTTATCAACTAGATGGGCTGTCGATTGTCACATACGCAAGGAATAATGCCTCAGTTCCCACTAGTCTTGGATTTAATGTGTAAACACATGCAATTAGGCTGAATGAATTGGGACAAAGACCAAAACATTAACATACCTCAAACATCCTCAAACATGCGCCTCCCCAATCAGGCATAGACATAGACATGCATAGACCACAACGTTATTGATCATGTTCCCATGTTCCACAATTCCGGGTGCAATACACCAACTTGTATGTAATTTACTACTCTACCCGCAGTAGCGGGTGCAGTATCTCATTTACCTCAACAAGTCTAGCCAACAAAAGCCTGCCTTCCCACGATATCCTTCCCGGCAGTATCGCTTGGGCTCACCCAGCGGACCAGCTGCGGCTCAGTGGCTGCCCCATAAAACTTCGACCACCACAAGTCAACCTTGGACAGCGACGAGCATGCAACAGAAAACGATCGAACATGTTTCTTTGGGTGAATCCTAAGCAGAGGCTGATTTTCTGTCATGCGTTCAAGTCTACAAACCCTTTTGGGCTGACCTTCACGGTAACATGTGACTTGTGTATCGACGTCACAAGCCGCCAGACCTCATCCGGTCGACAGTCCAAATGCCCAATTGTTTGGGGTTGAGGGCAGGTTAGAGCCGGTTGGGGTAGGTCAATCTCATGATGAGTTGTCAGTGACTCAGTGCTGACAAATCGGAGAAGGGCCCAAATTTAAGTTACTGTCTACTGCACATAAGTTATACTATATGAATTTTTGATGTATTTGTGTTACTATTTGATCCTATCGCGGCATGCCACATGTCCGTGTTTCAGTGCAGAATGCTGCACTGTGATCCCACAATACCAACCCCAACTAAGACCTCTCCAAGAAACCGAAGCTCCAACGACCCGTAGCAGATTGGCTTGAGCAAAAATATCGCTGCGATCGCGATGGACTGCTGAGCAGTTCAACACATGAAGATGCTAACAATTGATGGAAAGGAACCCCCAGAAAATATTGGGGGCAGGATTCCGGCAGGATCACACCAAAGCCCCTGCCTGCACCATACATACCTCAAGACTTGGTAGAACATGCCCCGCCACCCCAACCTGCCTCCAGATCACGTACAGAAGTAGACGTGCTCCTGTGCGAAGGGTCTTGGACATGCGTCCGGATATGTCCGGATCGTGACGAGATCGCCTGTGAGCTGATCCCGGAGAGTCAACCTGAAGATTTCATGGCATTCACGGATGGAAGGCTTCACTCCCACGAATCAGTGCTGTGCGGCTGTCCCTGTGTCCCAACAAAATACTCATACACCTTCCATGTGTAAGTCAGTGATCTCCCACATTCACGAGCTCAACTTGTGCTGCCAGGTTACAATGTATATATATAGGCACAGGTCTGTAAGAATGTACGTGAACCCATCAGGATTGAAGTATATCAAATACCTAACATTCTGCCAACATGTGAAAGCATCTCATGCATGTAAATGTAAACTGATCGAGGTGTTCTCCAATCCGTTTAATGTTCAACATAATGTCTTTGATTGTTAACTCATCATGAATGTGTCGATATCTCTTACACGGACCTGTGTCACTCTATGACTGTTCGCAACTTTCGCAGTCAACGACCCCGCCCCGCCGATTGCTTCAAGGAAGTTTCATGTTTCCTGTCAAGCATGTGAGGTTCATGTTGGTCAATGTGCTGGCGCACCATGGAGGTTCCTGTCAATAATGTCATCCCAGCTGCAAAGTATGATAAGGCACCCCAACAACCGGGGCCTTATGAGGGAGGCACTAAGGGAGGCCTTATTCATCCTTCTTTCGTTAGTAGGGAGGAGGCCATCGCTATTAGATGGAGGCCATCGCTCTTAGGTTCCAGTTGCAAGAATGTTGGAGGCCATCGCTTCTAGGATTTTAGGTGTTGTTTTCAATATCATCTCTTTTCTCTGCTACAATCCCCCAGGTTTGGATCCAGCCTTGCAGGAAGAATCGCTGCAGCGCGGATCGGTCTCCGTAGCTTGCGCTGGCCGCCGTTTCTGGGCCCTGCCGGTTTGTGCGGTCCCAAAAAGGGGGGAATTCGACGTTTAGGTCTTAAGAGACCCACGTGACCCAAGTGACCTGAGGGACCCAAAGTGGTCTTTAGGCGCTGAGGTCACTTGAGGTCCCTTCAAAAGATCTGTTTGATGTGTCGTCTAAGGCGGGGACCCAAGTGACCGATCGTTTGAGGTCAGTCCGTTTCGATTGCACTGGCTTGCCTCTTTGGGCATGTACAGTTGAGAGCCATGCGAGGTTTTGGTAACGTAAAGAGGCATACTGCTGGTGTGTGTGCCTGCCTTCGAGGCACAGAATGCGATCGAATCGATTCATTGAGAGCCATGTTGTGGCATCCTTTCAATCCCCAACCAGACAGCAACGCCTCCTGCGCAAGAGGCATGCGCAAGCTGAGGGCCTCGCACGATGTAATGTGTCTGCCCATCAATCACAAAAAGTTCAAAAAAAATCAATGATTAATGATGTTATCATAGGCTTGTCTACAGTGGATTCTGTTCGGTGCAAGATGGTCCTTTTCTGCTACAGCCTCGATAACGCGGGTTAAAGTTGCCCAAGCGCTTTTATGTACCCCAGGATCTACTTTGAACTGTTGGGCCACTCCCTGGTGCTGCCGAAGCATGAAGAACAAACTGCAAGTGTCAAATCGTCCATTTAGGATAGAAGGTTCCTGCCAAGCGTCAGCGCTACAGTAGCATTTCCTGTTAGTATCTGCTGGTACACACCATAGCTGATAGCAACAAGGCACGCATTGATCAGATTGGGGGTTGTGCCATCCACTTTGCAGGTGGAGGACATCTTCAATGTACATCCCAACACCGCCTGGATGCTCGAGGGCTTCCATTGCAAGCTTCAGTCTGCTCGGGGCCACATCCAGAATCTCCTGCAAAGGAAGACACAGCATTGGCTATTGCTATTCTGCTGAGTAATCTTGGTTGTATGTTTCTCGCTGCTGCAAACATGCCATGCACATGCACACCATAAGGAATTCGTGGAAAGCGTATGAAGGAAGCGCTCATCGTCGAGACAATTCAAACTTTAAAAGATGTTCTCACAGCTGCATGCGATTGAGGTGTATCAGTAACCGAAAGGTAAGGCAGCAAAATGGCCTGCATGCATGTTTAGAGCGAGCAAGCCCATCTAATCCACCCACCGACCCACCACAGGCGACACTCAATTGTCAGGGAATTGTCAGGTGTCTTGCGACATTAGGACTGGGATCTACCTGCGCCATACGACTCCCTTGCCTATTGAAAGGTAGAAGGAAACCAATCACCGACCCACCTTTGTTGCAAGCGTACACCAATATCTTCCCACGAATCATACACACCAAGGGAGAGGGAGACTCCAAGCCGACAAAGAGAAAAGCACGGGTAAAGCACGAGAACTACATAGAACTGAACTACCATCCCCAGAATGCAACAAATCTCGGCAAAGGTGTGCAGGGATCACTGGCATGAGTGACTTACTTGGACGTCGGCACAAGTCTAATAGTTATCCATGCAAGGGGTCCTCGGAAAGCAAAGGCGACAAACCGACAAGAAATTCAGAATGTTTCTTCTTCAACGAGGCTTTCTTATTTGCAACTCTCTTGCAACCCCGGAAAAATTCCCCACCTCCTGCAGCTGCTCTGTGCCAAGCGCATGCTCTGCAGCCCGAAAGAATTGCTTGGCAGCATCCCGGATCTGAACCGTTTCAGAAGATGCACCAATAAATCCGGTAAGGCATGGGATAGACTCGAATAGACCTCAACATCTAATAACCACACCACCATCTCTGGATCAAGTCGGTGCACTTTTGGTGTCTTGTAGTTCTGAGACATTCCGTGAGTGTGGCATTCGCAATCCCTGGGCCCAAAGCCTGGTAAGCTTGGTCTGAGAGTGCATCGATTGCCACAGAGAAGATCTCTTGGAGGACCTCAGTTCACACCAGAAAAAAAAAACACAAAAATGTCAAAATCGCATTAAACTTTTAAACATTGATGAGGGTTCTCTGGATTTGCTGGATGTTCATAGGAAGATGTGAAGTGAAGCCTTCTCATTCGTGGAGAAAAAAGCTGGAGAGACATGGAGAGACCGGGTATTCACCAGACCTTTTGCACAAATAGCAGGGGGTCTCTTCCTCACTTCAAGAACCCACATGCCATACCAAGTCTTGTGGACAAGGATTGCATAACAGCTGGATTCCATTCATCCAAACCGAGTCCGTTCCTTTCTTAAGTATCTTTCTTACGTGACTTGGACTTGAGAGATTGCCCTGCTCTAGAAAAAAAAACATGGGACCATGTGGACCACGTGGGGACCACGCCTGGCCAAGGCCTCACAACATCCACTGCGCCACCCCACCTGCCGTCGCAGCTCTGCGCCAGAGCCACAAATGTGTAAGCTTTCCGAAGCCAGGCGAAGGCTTTCGGCCAGCAGGGACTGGCGTTGCTCGAACTTGGCAAAGTAGTGGATGGAAGACTGGGACTGGAAATGACTGCAGCTGTAGCTCATGCAGTCTTCACGCAGCGTGAATTTTAAAGCAAAGAGAAAAACTGTTCCCCTGCTGGTGCACACACTGAGATGGGTCTTGTGCAGACGTGCAGATGACTTCAGCGTTTGCCGAGCGAGCATCCCATCTGAAATTAATTCTAGATCTGGAATCTGTTTGTTCAGACAAATATGTCTATTCTGAAGCCCACCCCACGCAGTTTTGCAGCACCTGGCAGATTTGCTTGGAACGGACCGGCACCCGAACCCTCTTAGCACCTTTTGAAAAACATAACCCTCTGGGCACAACACCCGAACTTCCTGGAACCTGCCAGACTTTCGGAAGTTGCTGAGACAAAGCCAACGGGAAAACAACACGAGCAAGGGCATCGCTACTAGGAGCAAGGACGCTACTAGGGGCTCTTGGCCTTACTACTAGGAACAAGAATACTATATACTAGTTACTAGGAGCAAAGGGCATCGCTGAAAAAAGGAAGCTAAGGCCCCCAACAATCAACCATTATACAAGTAAAGGACATGACATGACATGAACATGACATGATGTGACGTGACATGACTGACGCCACGAGACAACGCTCGGCTCCGACAGGGTTACCCCAGAAACAGGCTATGTTTACATCCAGAAGCGTTTGATAGCGTTTGATTCTTCTGGATCAAAGCCTGGCTTTTTGCCTCTCGCTTTCAGATTCAGCCCTTCCAGCCCCCCGGGGCAATCGGACAGCGGCCAGGACATCGATGTGCGCGTCTCTAGCGGCCGCGTCGCGTTTCCACGGCTCACAGCGCATTCCTCCCCCTGGTGGCCACCTCCAACCAAGCGCATTCAGCGCGTTCAGCAGAACCTTTACTGAGCTTTCGCAAAGTGTACAGCTACCCTTTTGCAAGGATCATTTTGTGAAATTACAATGTGGTGCCTTTCCTGATGCCGCCCCCATCCCCCCACACCCAACCCTGATTTAATCACAGGACCACAGGATTCTTCGATGACAACATTGTGGCGATGACACTGTTGTGAAACTATGACATTGTGGTGAAGAGTCAATTGAGCATTGCTCAAAACCTATCGAGAATTGTTCTAATGGGCTCTTCTTTCGCAAGTTCCTTTCGCAACACTTTTGCGGCTTGAGTTTGGGCCTTCGCGCGCTGCATTCAGTACAAAAACACGTTCGCAAGCTTTCGCCGATGAAAAGTTCGCACAATCTTTCGCGACTGCATGTTTTGCTTTCGCGAAGGCATAATACATTAACCTCTCTTCACATTGTTACTTGGGAAGTGTTGGCCGCTGCTCAATTGACGTGAGGCATGCGTGCAGCACACCACAAAACACGGTCTACCACAGCATATTTGCCATCTGAACACAGCAGGCCACTGCGGAGAGCCTTAAGAAAAGGGCGCGTCCTTAGCCTCTCGGACCCAGCAACAAACATGCTCATATATGAAACATAACTACCTATAAAAAGATCCCAAAACATAAATTACAATGCACAATGTTTATATATGACTTTCAGCATGACCTTAGAAATATAGTATTCCTGATTGTTTACAGTAAATTAATCCCTAATATCGTCATCCGAACCTCTTTTCTAGGATACTCTATGCACTCTAGCTCCTGTGGCCTGCGAGTCTTTCTTGAGAGGCATCCATCCTGCCTGGTCGGTGGTTGCTCTTGAACCAACACAAATAGCCTTGCAGAGAGGCAACGCCCAACTCATGGCGCTTTCAATCAAAAACAAATGCATTCTTGTGGCTTGGGATACTATACTTGTATTCTATTGGATCCATGGGATGGTAAATCTCATCTGGAAGGGAACACATTTACAGTAAGTGATTCAAGTGGCTGCATCCAAAGACCCCACCTGCATCCAGGCTCTCCACACCATTCGTAGACCGCCCCAGCTACCCATTAGCTGCTGCACGGCGCGGCGTGCTGCGCTGCTTGCTGCACTGAGCCTGGGCCGGGCGGCCGCCAAGCGTAGCAGTGGCACGGCGAATGGCTGTAGCGCAAGGCGCAGAACCGGGCCACAGGCGATGGCACCTGAAACATGAGGCTGGTGGACTGCATAGTGGATGAGATGACGTGGTGAGCTTTGAACACAAAGATGATACAAGAAGATTAACCTTGGCAAAGGCAAAGCCAGACTGACCTTTGCTCGATGTTAGCACCTGGACCTTAGGGGTGCGACACTTTTAACTGTGTGAAGTGTAAAGTACTCATTTCTCCGGTGATTCAATGATAAAGCACATGATTGTGCTCCAATCACCCATGCCAATAGGCATGGGTCACAACCACCCCACGCAGCCGTTCGGCTCCAAAGGGCATTGCTCCATGGTTTCAGCTGCGGCTTTCTGCACAGCAGAGCTGTGAGGCTTGGAGAACAACAGCTTCAGCTGGCTGAGGAGGGAATGCGGAAAGGCTCCTGAGAGACTCAAAGTGACTAATTAAAGCTTACTAAGGCCTATCCATGGGGAACTGAGTCGACTAAAATGTGACAGCGATTCCTGTGTTGTTGAGAAGTAAAGACCATCACCCTCCTGGCAACTGTTCGTCACTGCAGAGTTCCCGCAAGCTGGCATAATCCTGAGCTTTTGAGCGTGACAGCATTCTTGCTACGAGGTGCCGTCCATGAATGTCCAAATTCTCAGGCCAATCTCATGCAAGATTCTCAGAAGCATTCTCTAAACCCTCCTTGGCCTGATGCCATCGAGAAACAAGCGGGCTGAAAATGCTTCCGATCTCAGATTCATTGCCAAATGTGTGTTGTTTTGCCAACAAAATATATCCAAGCTTTTCCAAGTGAAGACAGGTGTCAAAACCTGCTGGTTCGGGTGGGCAAGAAACACACCGTGTGTGCGTGTGTGACTATATTGTGAAATTGCTATATGATAAGTGATAAGTTCCAGCAAAGGCCAATTGCTCGTGTGCCCAGCACGGTTCGTCTATTCCAGCGAGCAGCATTGCTTACGCAGCTCGAACAAAGCGGCCGCTCGAAGGGCTTACCAGGTGCGGCATTTTCCTCAAAGCTGGCGGCTGGTACAACAAATCGTTTGCATGGCATGACATCACGAGTAACCCGAGTACACTGATGTTTGACCAAATGGATTGGTTTGAAAAACTTGCGGAGGCAAACTGCCCTTCCAAAAAATGGTAACCCTTGTAGGTTGTATCTCTCTTGTAATGCTTGTTTGCTGGACTCTACTCTAGACTGGGTGTCTTGATCCTCTTTCATGTCTAGCTAGATGGGCCTGTTGAGAACCCCCATCCCATGTATGCTGGTGAGGGATGGCCAGCTCCTCTTTTCTGCATGACCATTGCTGTACCCTACATACTCCGCAGGTCTACATAGATCTACATTTAGATCACACGTGCCAGCACGTCATCGTCCCACCTTAGCAGCAGCCCTCCGCCGCTGCCGCAGCAGCCAGCGTCTCAGGAAGCGCCTCAATGGTCTCAAAAGCTTTGGCCGTGCCAAGAGCTGCGTGAGGCGATTCAGGAGTGCCACCTGGCCAAGCGTGGCCGAGTGCCAGACGTTGGAACAGCCACACATCCCTGTTGGAACAGTGTAACCTTGACGCGATTAAACAGAAGGTTTCTGATTCAGGTCTCAGAAAAATTGTATACCGCCAGTGTTTCTGAGGTTCTATGGTTGAAGGAAATATCCTGGATCGCAAAATGGAGACAAACAAGGTTGCCGATACACAAGACAAGGACCTGCAATGAAAGCATTCCCTGGGTCACATATAAAGACAAGTATGTAGGCTCAGCGATACTGTTACAGTAATTCTAATAATTGAACCACCATCCCGACAAGGGGGTTTGAGATAATGATGTTCCTCAACAAAGCCACACCCTCGCAGCTTGTCTTGCCTCATCACACCCAGGTCGAGAGAGTTCTAAAATGATCCTGCCAGACGCGTTTTTGTCTGTCCTCAACGAAGGAGAAGAGCTACCATTGACCATATACATATATGTATATATACTATTTTATTACACCTCTCTCTATATATATACACAACTAGACTATACTATATAAAACTAAACTCTTTGCTTTATGGAACAACTATTGCTTAAAACCTAGTGTTCAAAGTCTTTGCAGGGGCGCGTGTACTCACCCTTAGCCCAGAGCCACTCCATGATTGGTCTCTGTGCCACACAACGAGACATTCTCGGAGGCCAAAGAGATGAGATATTTCGTTGGTAGGCTTGGTCACCAAACATCAGTCCCTATAAGGTGCATACCCATCTGGGTTTCAGTCGAACACCCGGTATGGGAAATTAAGTGAAATTATATAATTGGAGGATACCCAGGGAAAGCAAAAGGCTACAGTAGACCTCATGATTAAGTCCGTATTATCAATCCTCTGCACAAATCACCTCCAATGATCCAATTCCCACCATGGGTCATGTGCAACTTCTGGAAGCTCCAGGTCAGCTCCGCTGCGTCGAAACCCTGAGCCACAGTGGTCCCAAAACTAAACCGGTCATAACTCACAAGGCCACTGCAGATTGAGTACCGTTTGATGGGTCCAGGAATTGGTTTGTTGACAGGTCCTGAATGCAAAAAATTGCAGCATGTTTCGTTGAGAAGGACACCTTTCAGTTCTGTGAAAAATATTTGCAATTGATAAACCATCGTCCTCAACACAGCAAGATCACACTGGTCACACCTTCTAAACCTTGCCTTCTCATCTCCCCCTTCTGCGGCGAATGTCCCGCCCTGAGGCATGGAACTGAGTTCTTCAATTGAATAAGCAACGCCACACACAATCTGCTTCCGATGGACCAGCTCTGGCGTGAGCCATTTCTATGACCCCCCCACATCATTTTGGAGAACTCAAGACGTCCTTGGATCTCAACTGAGCAGGATAATGGAAATCCACCTATTTTCCCCTGTAAACATAGTTTTGTGATTTGCCAACCCACTAGCTTACCGGGGCTTCACTGCTCTAAAAACAGTTCCCAGCCTCTTCAAGCCTGGCAAGGAAGACCGAACAGTTGCATCATCCAGGGACCATCTAATCAAGATTCCAAAAAAGAACAAAAGAAATCCCAACAGCTGGGCATCCGAATCCGCCTACTAGGCAATGGCAGCATCGCAAGTTCACCAACAAGTGTCGTGGACCCTGCTGTTTTCAGAAGTGTGCACCTTTTCAATGTGCTAGCGTGACAACGCCACTACAAGCGAGAGATAGCAAGCCTATGCAAACCTGCTCCGGACCAACGACAGCCTTACGTTACGTGACCACAGCATCTCAGCGTGAAAACGTGTCAGCATGTTAGCGTGACCCATGCCAGCTTCCCAGCATGCCAGCATGCCAGGTGACACCACACAAGCATATATCAGCGTGACAGTGCGAATCATGTCAGCGCACCGGGGTGGAAACACCTCTTCGCGACAGAGACACACAGCGCATCTGCAAAGTGCTCCAGAAGTTGCTGCTGAACTTCCACCAGAAACTGTTCCAGAAGCTCCGGAACCTCAGCAACCTCCTCCGGAACCTGCTGCGGCACCTGCTCCCCAACATGCTCGGGAACTGGCTCCGGAACGTACTCTGGAACCTGCTCCGGAACTTGCTGCGGTACCTGCTCCGATCTGCTCCGAAGTCCCCCCTAAGCTTCGCTGTTGAGAAAAAACATGTTGAACAACCATACAGTGTGTTGTATACTGTCCGTGAGGAGTTTCCATGAGGAGGCTGCTAGTTGTGAAAACATATATATCTTGACAAAGACATGCCCAAATCTGAGAACTAGCGTAGCAGCGATGCATGTGGTAAACTGGCAAACTGATTAAACAGGATTGAACCCTCTTTGGTTGTCACAAGGATGAGCCAGCATAGGAACAGGAAGCTTTTCTGAACAAGAGGTTTCTATGGGTGGAAAATGCAACAAATGTTGAAGAAAGAAAAGAAGCGTTTCTTGAAAAGCATCATGGTGCTGCTCCAAACAAACCAGGGTCTGACCAGCATTATATATGGCAACCTCTCGAAGGCCCCTTTTTGGCATCAGAGCATGAGTGGAGCATCTTTTACTCCATTGAGTTCGTGAATGCTCAAGTTCTGCGCAAGGCATTCAATGGCTGCAATTGTGCTTGCCAAAACCTGTAGGTGGCCTTGACCACAATCCGAACAGATGCGCTCAGCAAACTATATACACATGTTGATGCGTATACAGTATCAAATTTAGATGCAAAACCATATTGGAAGATCATCACTGCTGAGCCACATGACTGAAATCTCGGACGAAAACTCTGCGTCGTTGGCTCCTACAACATCTACACATAGAAGGTGTCGCTTCACTGTTTCACTGTCCCACATTTCATGGATTCTCCATCAGCATGGCTTGGATGACAGTGTCCGGCACCTCCTTGGGAACATGACCTTTTCTGTACAGGCGCTGCACGCTCGCCGCTTTTGCAGGGTTGGACTGGTGGTATGGCTGCCCAAACCCCTCCAAGCTCTTCAAGTCGGATTTCACATCGTTTTGTGTCCTTTGGTTCCATCGCGATAGGCTGACGACAATGTGTGACTCTTGAGACATGGAGTGCGTCTGCAGCTGACCGAATCCAGCCCAAACTGATATAACTCTGTGGCGAGCACATGAGTGCAGGGAGTCGTGCACGGTGTCGCAAAGCGACGAGGCTGTAAACGTCGATTAAAAGAAGACTGACATGGTCCGACCCTCACGTTGAGGGCCCTTGCTGTTCAAAGGGACTTGCTCGTATGGACAATCTGATATTCATATTCCTGGCATTTCCTGGCACAAAAGGACTGCCAAAGTGCGGTTTGTTTTGATTCCAAAAGTGCCTGAGTGCCTGTGCCAGAATTTCCACGACCGCAAAAGTGCCACTCAGAGGTCGAGGAGAAGGGACACGGAGATCGGCCTAATGATCCTCAGATCTCCAGAGCACCACATTGGCAAAAGGAAAACGAGATCAAACGAGAGCGCATAAAGAATAGCCCTCAGGTTATATCGGTGAGGTCGACTGGGTCTTGGACTTAGCAGACTTAGCTATTTCATGCTATTTCATGCAATCTCTTACGTTCCAAAAACGTGTTCACACAAAAACATACAAAAACGACCAAAGCCAGGGCTAGCACTAGCCGCTAAGCCGAACCGATCCGGTTCTGGTTCTGAGGTCGCCACTCGCCAGGCGTCCGCGTGGATATAGGCCGCGTGAAGCTGGGAGTTCAAGAGTTCCAAGTGGGCCACCTAGGGTCCACACAGGTGGCCGTTTTGGGTGTCCAAACCATATGCATGATTCATGATGGTTCTGATGGATATTATATATTTATAGCATATATCCGATATCCGATATCCTAGTCAAGCCCACATCAAAAATGCCTTCAGCAAGCATGTGAAACGTGTGTTCTTGCATTGTTGCTGAAGCTCCTGAACTTGTGCGACCATGCACAGGAGCCCTGTGGAACCCCAGGTGGTCTTGACCTTTGATTGCATCTTGCAGCCACAGAAGCACGCTCCTCCAAGGCCGCAATGCGGGCTGCAGAACCTGCCATGATGTGCCGTGCTGTTTTTGTATGAAGAGATTCAAAGCTTGGAGTGCTCCAAGCCAAGTGAGAAGAATGCCCGGCCAAGTGGCTCATAGCATGTTCCTCGATTGGAGAAGAAGGGGTGAACATGGCGGAAGCGCAAGTGGTGGCGGATCAAAAACACGGTGCTGGGCATCCAAGGTAGCATCTGTGCGAAACAAACACTTCAAAGCAGCTTCTTGCTATGAATACACCCTTTGCCTCAGGCACAATGTTTAAAAGAAAATAGCCGTTCAGAACGAACAAACAGGCTTCTCGGTTCTCTAGCATGCAAGTCCTCCCAAAACTAAAAGTGCTGCCGAAGCATCCATCAGCCACCGTATCAAATCTGGCGAGTCTGACGGCGCGAATTGCACGCAGTGCACAGCTTGAAGCGGAATGCCTTGTCCCTCCTGCAAAAGACGCTTCTGAAAACATCCAAAGCACCAAAGCAATGGTACTAGTACTTACCCCTAGTCCTTTTATGAATTATTCCCTCCGCCCTGTGCAAAATTAGCAACCACCACATGATGTTACAGGGCGCAAGATGTGTTGTCTACCAAAGACAACAAGATCAACATCCGGCAAGGTAAGAGTTCTTTTTTGCTCTAGTTGTTTTACTGTTGTGCCCGAAGAAACGTTAGCCTTTACTAAAGTTCGATGGGACATGGCAGGGCCAGGGCGGGTGGAAACTAGCCAACTATATAGACTATATAGACTGCCTGGAAACGTTTGTGTTTTGTCCAAAAAACAACGGTTTGCACAGCTGAGGTTAGATATTGGAAACTAGCCTTTTGGGAAGGAAGGACAAAAAAGAGCAAAAGGTGGACGTAGCGACTGCAAGTGAAAGAATTGAAGCGCCATAGCCACTAGACACTAAGCGACCAAACCAACTGAAGGCTGCAAACATTGGCAGCAAGGAGCGTCCATGTATTCTGCTTGGGTTGCTTCTGGGGGGAGGCGCTGCGCCTTTGGGATAGGGAAGGTTTGCGGTTGCCCTCTTACTTCATTTCTTTGCGCTGAGATTTGCTCAGCTGCAGTGAGGAGTAGAGAGCGAGGGAACCAAAAACAAGATCTCTGAATTAAACTGACTATATAATTGCCATGCAAAAGACAACCCCTTTCCTGGAATGTTTGCCCCTTTCCTGCCACCACATGTACACTAATTAATGCAAGCACGGTTTCAACCCTGCAAAGGTTCCCTGGAAAGAAGCCAGCAAACCCATCTCTAATCCGTGGAACTGGAATGCAAATTCAAAAAGGTGAGCATGCAACTCTATATTCAAACCCTGAACTACAAGTATTATCAAGTATTGCCTGGAATGTTGGCATGAAATTTATTGAAATTTATGAAACCGCATCTCCAAGCCGCACAGGAAGCCGCCGGCCTGTCCAAAGGGACCAACTGAGCTCTGCTCCTTTACAAGAGTGTTGAGAAAAAAGCTTCTGCACTTGCCACAAGTGTTGAGTAGTGGTCTGATTAATTGTCAGATGTCAGTGTCAATTCGACGTGATCCAAAGTACCTGGTCGTTCATGCTCTAAGCCATGTGAAAGGCACTGGAGGTGAATTGAAACACGGTAACAACAGTCATGACAGCCAACGCGCGTAAACATGATATTCCATACCGCCTGACTTGCAGTCGTACATCAACACAGCCCAACTTCAGTGCATGCTGTTCCATGGCTCCCTCTCCTGCGTATCCTCTCTTTCCCATGGTTCTGGGGTGGCAGTACCGCTGCGTGGACGGTCACAGTAATCATCCACCTGCACATCGTAAGGCTAAGGGAATGGCGCATGTACCATGCTGGTGCAAATAAAGACCAACTGGTAGTAACAAGAAGCTAGTAGAAACAAGTGCCACGCTAGTAGTCACAAGTGCCTTACTGGTAGTAACAAGAAGCTAGTAGTAATAAAGACCGACTGTCTTGTTCGATTCTTCCTTTCAACCCCCACCTGCGCGGGCATGCTGCGGCTCCGTGCGCCAGCAGAACAACAATTGGGCGACACCGAGATGAACCTCGCCACGGTCAGCCGAGTCATCGGTCGATTGAGGTCTCATCGGCCGTCTGTGAATCACATGGGTTGGGTGTCAACCAGGGTTGCTCAAATTGGTGGATGTTGGTGATCTTGAACGCTTTGTCTTTCCAGGTCAAGCACTGGGTCTTACGACCCAAGCCACTGACATCGCAAGAAGAAGCAATAAAGTGGCTTTGCCCAGCGTTTGCGCGCTGAATATTGACTGCTCAGGGCTCGCTCGGGATCTCAAAAACCCAATAGAACCGTGAATGACAACAACAAACCCGTAAATACCACCGAATTTGGCATCCAAACGCTCCAAAGAACCTTGTGCGCGCTGCCTATCATCTTGTGGGCTTTTGTCTTTCCACGCGCGCGTGTGCAGAACCACCAACTGTTACATAATCAATCATATAGATATGTATGTCGTGTGTTGTGTGTATGTCGTGTGTGTGTGTGTGTGTTCAAAGTTCGAGCAATATCAATAGGGAGCGGTTTGCAGATGGACTGTCTTCCTTAAGCACAACATATTAATCTGGCTTTCCCATATTAACCTTTGTGCACAGGTGCTGTTTGAAGAGGTCGGTAGCAATCAGACTATATCAAACTATATCAACCCCCTGTGGTGTTCTCCATCCCCAACACCAAGCCACGTGTTCTCCGCCACCAGCTCGCAGTCTGTCTCTGCCAATAGCTTCTGCAAGCGCGAGGCGTGTTTCTGCCACCTCGCAACTCTCGGCCGAATACAGCACAATACAGCTGCGTGCCTTGACATCAAGTGGGCCTTCCATTGCATTGTGTGGGTGAGACGCCCCACCGCCGTGTTGATCTCCCTAGAAGATACACATTATGTCTGGGGCATCAATAAGTGATTCACTACCTTGCAATGTTTCTATGACCTTCGCTTGTCCCCGAGCCACCTCGAGATGATTCGAGATGTAATCTTAATCTAGCACACAAATGTCAAAAACTGCCTGAGGCAGCTGCCTCTAAGTGAGCACAACAAGCAGGCCCAAACCCTGGAACGTGAAGCGGTCAGTTGGGGCTCCATTTCTGCTCAGCCTGCCTGGGCTCTGTGTTCTTGGGGCTCGTCTCCGGAGAGGCTATGGCTTCCCTGGCTCTCGCAGCGTCATCAGCCCCAGATGAGATAACAATGTTTAGTACGAGTGTTTAACAAGGAGCACAGTTAGGTGACTGATTTGCAACGAACCAAATCAGCTCATCAGCGAGATACAGTAGGTTTTCCAAAAAGAATAAGACAAGCTCTGAGGCCGTTTAAGCTTTCACCCCCTACAGCCTAGCATCGTGGGCAAAAAGATGGTAGAAGAACATCGTTAAACCGTGTTAAAGCATGTTAAACCATGTTAAACCAAGTTATTAGACCTGCCCCAAAATGACCGCTTGTCCCATCAAAACACCATGTTCGGACATTGACTGCCCAAGTGACCTCCGGCTCCCGCGCACGGGTGGCAAGGACCGCGCACGAGAAAGAGATGCGACAACCTTAGGAGAGACGCCGAGACGCGTCCAAGCACACTCCAAATATACCAGACACTGAAGTCACTGAAGCTGCAGCATTGAAGTTGAAAAAACTGGATGCAAATGTGAAATTTAGATAAATTTAGCTTCTAGATGGTGAGTGATGGAACTTTTCCTAGTGATGGAACTTTTCCTTCGGGCTGCCCTACATCAGGGATTCAGGTCAGGTGCTTTTGGCAACCATGTCGTGATGCTCAGGAATCAAGAGTCCTTGTCATTCATCCAAGTACTATCCAATTGGCTGAGTTTCATGGTGGAACCATGTCAAACCCATCCAAGTACCAGGTTCACACCCAAGTCCGTCCAGATCATTCAAGAGGCTCCTGGGAGATCGTGGATGAGCGGCTTCTGCGTGGACTCCTGACAGGAAGAAGGATTGGTGGCTTCTGCATGGCCATTCTCAATGGCTCAGATTGAGGAGTTCTCCCCTCTGCTATTTCTGCTTTTAAGGCCTAAAGTTGCTGGGAGGACGGAGCACCTCATGACAAAGGGCACACAAGGGTCGCCCTGGGCCCGGAAAAGAGACTCTGGGAGCACCTGGTTCTTGAACCGGGAGAGTCTTAGGACCGGGAGAGTCTTAAGACCGGTTCAACGCAAGAATCGCAAGAAAATGCAAGAAGCGTTGTGCTTACTGCTTCCTTGCTGCTTACTTGCCACAACTCCAATGCTGAAGTTATCCGAAGTTCCGTCAGTAGCTCATGTTCTCAAAAGCATCAAACTGCCACTGTTGTGTGTCAGGAATTCTAGACCTCATATAGATCTCATACTTCACACCACTAGTCTATACAAAATTGTGGCTGAAAGCAACTGAGACTGGTCACAAATGCATCCTCTTGTTGACCAAGTTCCTCTTGTTTGCTTCTCCACCAAGTTCCCCCCCGCGGTCCCGTCTCGTCTTCGAGCTCTGTGCGCGACGCAGGTCACGCCGTGGACGAGGGAGATCAAGCAGAGTCATGGCGACGCAGGTCACTATTGGCACAGCGCGCACCGTACTGCACAGTGAGGCTCGAAGCGCTTGACAGGGAACAAAACATTGGTTAACACAGAGCATCAGGGATACCACAGAGCATCTGTTTTCTGCGGTGTAGTTCTCTGAAAAGGACACTGGGGCTGGTTGTCGTTTAGCAGCTAGCAATGATGCTGGTGACTGCTTGTGATATGTGTGGCTTTGTCCCTGTTACATCTTCGGGATCATGCAAAAGATAGTTATTCCATTATTCCATGGAGTCTTGCCCATTCCGTGCCGCTACTCTATGTACAGCTGCGATCACAACAGTTCAGTCACGTTGCGAAAGCACGCAGCAGAACACTTCGAAATCTGACTGTTTGACCCACACACAGCTGAACCCTTCGTTGGCCTCGTAAGGGAGGAGGGAGATTCACTGGCCTAGCAAGCGAATCGGAACAGATCGGTTCGTAGTCTCGTTCTTCGGCTGTCTAAGAAGCTTTCACAAGCTTCAAGAGACATTGTGCCCTCTGACATTGCCACTGTCCTTTACACAATTATATTGTCAACATTTTTGTGGCTCAATAAGTTGGATTTAGAAGAAAAGGCTGCTCGTATTAACATCCAAGCTGTGCCAAGCTGCTTGGCCACTAAAAGCATGAACCTTCAAGCAAATACCCACATTCCCAAGAGCACCTCAGTGTCATCGCCTTGGCAGCCGGGGATTTCTGTTGTTCAATGCAGTAATTTGTTTGCATTACTCACAATTGACCTAATTTGGAAGCATATATAGATTCAAATGATCTGATGGCCTCTGCTGGCCAATACAGCCTCCTGAATTAGATTGAATGCTCAAAACAGTATCCAGTTGAAGTTGTTTTCACGAATCATATCCTTGTGCTTTCAGCAACTTCCATGCTCTTGGGATGAAGGGACTTGCAGCGATCGAAAAAGGTCACTTTTTCAAGCAGCACTTGGGAGGCCGCAGCCAGTCGTAGTCTCAAGTGTCGCTACAGCACTTGCACGACCTGATCGTAGTTACTTGGTTAGGCTCTAAGGGGCCGAAGCCCTGGTGAAGACCGCACAGAAATCACCAGAGCAGGTCACATAATTGATGGGCTCAGCGAAGGTGGAGCATTCCTCAAAACGTGTTCCCATGCAGTGCAGCCTTCCCACATCATGCTCAAAACAAGAAGTGGCCATGCGCATTGAACGGGTCTGGAAAAGACCCCTTCCCAATAGCGTGCCCAACGTTATGTATATATATATAGTATATTTAGATGATTATAGATGTAGTTTGGTTGGATGAAATGATGGTGTTGACTCAACCATTCGAGACTGCCTTGTCCAGTTGTAACAGCTCGCTCGCGGAGAGTACATCGCAGCACGCCTTCAAGCAACAGCAAAAGGAGGATCTGAGCCACTGGCAGTCTTTCCATCAAGCAGGTTTGTGGTGCAAAGTTGTTCCTGCAACACCCCCCCTGGCTCAAAACAAAGGTGTTCCTGTTTGGGAGGAGACTCCTTTCAGCTACCTTGATTCCATCGGAATGAGACAGTTCCATCTCTGTTGGCGTCCTGCGCGTTGGCATCCACGAAGGTGATACGACCACCATGTGCGTAGAAACCATGTCCTGTTGATGCTTTTCTCCCGTCCTGAGTGTTTTGGAACATTGAGATGTGTGATTGGTGCAACCTCCCAGCAAGAAATAAAGAACAATGTTGTGCCTGCTGTCCTGCTATGTTGTTTTTGCTTTGAGGATACGCTTTCTAGTCGCAATTGCAAGATCTGTTGCCAAGCTGCAAGGGTTTTCTTTCTGCCAAGTCACTGGCTCCAATATTTTGACCTAAGAAACGCAAGAAACGCATCTGGCCCATCCGGACCAATCCGGACCTTCGGTTTTCCTTTCATCGAAGGGGCTGTGTCCCAAGGTGCCGTCTTGTCTCCAGGGGTGTGATCCTCAGTAAATACTGTGTCGAAGCGGAGAACAACAAGTGTTACTAAGTGGTTAACTCTGCCGAGACTCTGCCGTTTGGTTTCCAACATAAATGTACAAATATATGTTTTATGTGTGTATAATTGTGTATATATATATATATGGGCACAACCAAGCAGGCCAAAACAACTCCAATTCTGTGGCAACCATACCGACTTGAGTACAACCCGTTGCACCAATGCCATTTGTGGCTTGGGTCTGTTTGAGCAAGTCTATGTGGCAAAAGGTCAAGCACTACCCAGCGAAAAGGATTGATGGTACATGTGGATCTGAATTGTCACGCAATGATTATTGATATTATTGCTTGTTGTGGTTCTCTTTGGATCAGCACTGATAAACTCTGTGAAACACCAATGTTCATCCAAAACTCATCACCAGGTGGGCGAATGGAAGGCAAGCCCTCGCCCACGTCGAGGCGGCCTGAACGGCAGATCCATGAGGCAGCACTAAACGGCTGAAAAAGCTCCTAGTAGCGTCCTTCTCCCTAGTAGTAAGGCCAGGAACCCTAGTAGCGTCCTTGCTCCTAGTAGCGATGCCCTTTGCTCCTAGTAGCGTCCTCTTCCATGCCAACGGCCTCAAGTCGCCTACCAATGTCCTCTGAGTGTACGACACTGAAAACAGACTTGTGCAGTGGGTTCCGCGAGGCCGGCTCCGAAATGTCCCCAGGTTCATGGCCAAGCGGTGTATATTGGCTTGGACGTAGCGACCCCGGCAGGGAGGTCGTAGAAACCATGAGCAGCTGGCAGTCACGATGCCAGCACTTCAGCCATGCGAACAAGGTGGAAGGGCTCCAGAACAGCCATGCGACGGTCATTTCTGGGGAAGCAGGCTTTGCTGAAACACCGTGAAGTTCAAGGTTTCCAGTGCTTCCCGAAGTGTGGACATGTGAGGTGTTTATTTGCTGTCGTTGCCAGGGGCCTTTGCCGCGCTTGCAGGCAGGCTCAAGGCTATTTTGCTGTTTGCTTAACTTTACAGATCCTTACAGCATTTCTGGCTAATTCCCCATGATGAAAGCACATAGGCATTTTTTAAAACTGCCAGCACGCACGAGCGAGCTCATTTGCGCGATCAAGTCCCATAAATTGACATTGCGTCAAAAAACAGACAAACACATGGCCTCCATTGCTTTATGGCTTTCCACGAACAGTCAAGCAGCTTGTCAGGAGAGCGTTGCAATGCCGTTCAGGGAGAACTAGAGGCGGCAGTTCTCCCTCTGTAGAAGTTCAACAAACTGTGAAACAAGTCCTCACGGCAACATCCAACTGGAACCCAGTTCACCCAACCGTTCCGAAAACAAGCTTGTTTGTACAACAAAGTGAAGGGAGTCATCCAACAAAGGCTACGTGAGGATATCAATGTTAGTAAATCTAGATCACAGAGAGGAAAAGGGTTCAACCGAAAGAGAGGGTCAAACACTCCTACTATGTGGTGGGGGTTCCTAACCCCACACAACCGAAACAACAAAACCAAGCACAAAACCACAGCCACATCCAAAACCGTTATCATGTAAGCCAAAAGCAAAGGTTTCCTAATCAAAGTATCGAAATGCGCGAAACCGAACGACCGTGCGTCCTCACAAACCCGCGCTTAACACGGAGGGGAGTGCGTTGCATCGCAACATTGACACACACACACACACATACATATATATCGAAACCGCGAGTTCGGATCCTACCGAAACAAACGGGCTAGCTTGCGCTCCATTTTCTCTCGAGCGAAACAGCTGTCCCTGCGAGCAAGACCGTGGTGGAGCATATGGCATTCATGCTGGGCAACAAGACTCCTTATAATCTCCAAACTTAAATCTTCCAGGAATCTCGAGGTTTCCACTTCAGCAAATCTTCCACTGATCCTAACTTGGTCACGGTGATTTGAAGCTTCTTCGAGCAGACGTGCCAGGGATCAACTCTCCACGAACCAAGGCACTGTGGGAATTCTCCATCTCATGACGGCGCATGAAAGACGTAAGATCTTTCAGCTCACCACCTGCCGTGCTCTGTCGGGAGGAACACCATTTCACATATCCACGCATGTCCTCACTGGTGGAGGAAAGGAGCTCAATGTATGAAATGTTCTTTCCCTTGTATTTGCCAAAGCTGATGATCGATCGGCCCCACTGTTCGGTATTGATCACTCCTGGAGGAAGAGGAGGAAGACTCGAATTCGGTAGTGGCAGCTCAGAGGAAGAAGGATATGGCAAATTGGCAGCACTCGAAGCATAGCATCCATCCTGTTTGTCAGCACCTTCACTGGCCGAGGGCATGGGCATCGGCAACTTACGGTTGGCTTTTGAATGGACTGGATATTGACCATCGGATTGGCGCTTTGCGGCGTCCGACATGGTGCCCACCAGTTCAAAGTCGTCCACGTGTGGAAAGCCTCCCAAGGCTTCCACCGGCTCAATGCCATGCTGTATGGCCTTGCGGAACAAGGCGCGAAGCTGATTAGCTTCTTCCTGGGTCCAGGACATGTCGATCAGTCGAAGGTCAGTGAAGCACTGGCCACTTGAACAAGAAAGGATGCTGGTTTCCAAAACCTTGCATACTGGACTCAAGCATTAACAAAAACTGGTCGGCTCGTGACTGCTGGCAAAATGAAACACACAAAAACATGCATCTAGGACACTTGTTCGAATAGTCTCAAAGAATGTTAACCCTTTCGAGAAAATCTCAAAAACATTGCTTTTACTATTTCTTCTCAAGTGATCAACTATCTAAATTCTCGGCCGGATCAGCTTCCTCACTGAGTGGCTTCTTTTCCTTGGTGGACTGATTCCGTCTTAGCAATCGAAGCTCCCGTTCTTTGGCTTGTTGTGCCAACACATGTTCTTCGGGGGAAATTTGGTAGGTGGCACTACGTAAACAAGAACGAAGCAAATCTACTGGATCCATTTTATCTTTGGTGAGGGCATCAGCCAACATTCTGTTTGTTGGCAACCAACGGATGGATGCATGAGTGGCTTTTACGGACTCCCTGATAATCACTATATCAATGCTTGTGCGTCTATCATCCACTGCTGTCGGGGATGATGGAGATGTCAGGTGATCATACAAGGATTTGCAGTCGGTTGCTAGGATGGGTGGTCTGAGGCCTAAACGCTGTCGGCACAAACGAGGTTCAAACTTCCCATCGAGGGCTTCGCTCAAAATCAGACAGGCCCATTCCACCGTTCCGGTGGCAGTTGAAAGCGCTTGACTCTCTCCAGCCAGGGTTGAGGAAACTGCTCTTGGAAGCTTGTAGCTCTTCCAGGTCATTGGGGTCCAAGAACTGACTTCACCTTGATCAAGCTTTTGATCCACAAAGGCTATCACATACCCTGCCTGGGTGTGGGAGCCAACATTGGCGAAAGCAGCGTCTGAGTGACAACACAGGCGAAGATGTTCAGGTGGAATCGCACGGAATTGTATCTTCACATCTTTATGTTGCTTGGCTCTACGAACCGCATTGTTCACATCTCGAAGATGACGAATCTGGGGACGTGGAAAAGCTTGTTGACTCAGGCTCGTTTGCACTGCCAAGTCTGGACGTGATTGGGAGGCTATCCAATTTAAGCTACCATTGATGGCTCTAAGAACTCTGATCTGCGAATCTTGGAGATACTGTTCATTATTGGCCCCTTTTGCAATGTGTGCAGGTCGAATGTTTTCTGCAAAAGTCTGTTGAGACATTGAAATACTTTTTGACTGCGGATCTTGAGTGTAAAAGGCACCACAGAACTCCCCTGATTGGATTCGCCATTTTCGGTATGGAAATCGTTCTTTCAACCTTTTTACAGTTTCATCAAAGTAAGAACCATGACCTCCTAGGGCCGTGTCGTCCACGTGAACACCCATGGCACCACACAGCTTACCTGAAGTATCACGAAGAAAATACAGGCAGGCATCGAAAAGCGAACGTTCCCAGCCGAATTCGACTGCTGCTGTATCGAACGCCTTGCGCCACGCCGCTGGGGCGTCGTTCTGTCCGTAGACATTTCCGATAATCTCCAGCACCGCATCATCTGGAACGGATGGGATGCCACCAACAGGCAATCGAGCGTAAAGCGGACGAAACCGATCAGGAAGGGGACCTGCCTCTAGGAACGCTCCTTTTATATCCCCTAGCTGCAAATCCCATTGAAATGATGAGATGAGTTGCATTAGGATCATTCTGCCGATTTGACTAAGGGTTGGACTTTGCAAGAGGCCTTCATGTAACTTGGTATCCAAATCTGGGTCGAGGTGGCCCTGCAAACACCATCGGCTTTTGACTCGAAATGTGGCAGGATTTGTCACGTCCAAGTGCAGATTCTCTTCAAGGGGTTTGCGAACAATCACGAATCGGCTACCCATGAAACGATCGGCGCGATTTTCTTTCAACCATAGAGCATGTTTCCCAGTATGCACACGAATTGCCCTTTTTTCCAACAAGGTATTCCATTCAACCAATTTTGACTCATCTACTAGTTCTTGAAGTACTGGTTCATTACCGGAAGCTGGAATCTCTTTGGCGGCTCTCTTTTGGAGATAGGCAGCGACAAGCACTTCGATATTTTGTGAGGCTTGCCACAGCTGACACAGTTCGTGACAGTCTTGCACGGACAGTACTTCTTGACACGAACCGGACTCCACCAGCAGGTGTTCATCAATTCTTGGCTTTTGAGCAGGAGACTCTGACGTGGGAGATGGTGGCGAATCAGCAGACCGTTTGACACCGCTTGCACTACTAGCTTCCGAGGATGACGATTGCACCGTTTGTTCAATCAATTGGGGAACCACTTCGCGCATGATCTCAACAAAATCATCTTGACACATTGGTGAGGGACGGTACAAACGTGATGGCTGGCTTTTACATTCTAGCCTATGTTTGGTGCGAACTGGACCATAAGAAGGTTCAAGCCAGGACTTGTCGGGGCGATCTTCACCAGGAATCTGTGGATCTGTCTCGGGCATCGGATCAGTCTTCATCTCTGAGGCATCCGGTGGTTCTGGAGTAGCCGGCTTGTCAAGGCCATCCATGCGACTCTGATTTTCTGGCAGGATCTGCGGAATCTCAGCACTGTTCGGCTCTGGACCAAGCATGTCGGCATCTGGTGGATCAGGGTTTGGTTGATTTGGCGGATAGTGTCCCGGCACAAGGTCAATGAAATTATGACTCCGAAAGGTACCCCCTTCAATAAGGTCTTTGATTCCCAGCAGTTCAGCCTGTGGAGTCATGACGGTGGCTTTTTCTTCCGAGGTGGCAGGACGCAGTTGTTCTGGGGCGACTCTGAAAACTTGGCGTCGATGTGCAACAACATAGTTTCTACCAATACTGCCGATGATTACAGCTATGCCAAACCATTTACCCCCGGTGACCACACCTTGACCAGCTTGGAACTTTTGGTTTCTCCAGTAGGCTACTAGTTCACCAGGAGCGAACTGTAGGTCGACACGTGGCCT